TCTGCCGTTTTCCCTCTGGAAAACCAAGGACCCGAGGCTGGAAAACCAGGCCTTTGACGTGTACAGACAGGGCTTGACGCTTGCTTTACCTTAGCACTGTGGCTCCAGGTATCACCGCGCTGGAGGCAGCTTTTTCTCTCACCATCATTTCCCATGATTTCCTTTTTTCTTGTCCTAGCCAGTGGGGATAATAGACTACAAACATCACCACAGAAAGCAATGCTACATAAAAGGCATAAATTGTTGGACAGTTCACTAAGTATAAGGTCATAGATGACTTAATTTAGTCCTAATTCATAGAATTTGCAAATGTTGAAAGCATTCAGTACAAATCTTTGTCTTGCTCTGTTGCATACCAAGAATATACCAAGAATACAAGTAACTTTAATTGCGCTGTATAGGAAAACTAATTTTTAGAACATTCATAGAATCACAGAACCACTCCTAATATTCTGTGAATGTTCTAAAAATTAGTTTTCCTATACAGCGCAATTAAAGTTACCTTAAAAAAAGCTGTATTCTTGGTATGCAACAGAGCAAGACAAAGATTTGTACTGAATGCTTTCAACATTTGCAAATTCTATGAATTAGGACTAAATTAAGTCATCTATGACCTTATACTTAGTGAACTGTCCAACAATTTATGCCTTTTATGTAGCATTAGTACAGAATGGTGATCTGTCAATAAAAATAATCATTCCATAGGATAAAAAGATTTAAAAAAAAAAAACCAAACAACCAACCAACCAAGAAGAACAAAACTCAAAACACATTCCAAAATCAGCCCATCCTCATTAAGTGTCAACTATCCGTTAGTTTTTTACAGGACCTATTCAAGAAATATAAATTCAGAACATTTTTGCTGAGTCTTAGGAAACCAGCCTTTTGACAAAAATTAAATGTTTTCGGTCATCTAAAGATGGGGAAATGGGGTCTCTGTTGTTTGGGGTTTTTTCCCTTCCTAAGTGGTTTTGAACCGATTCCGACTTTTAGCTCTGAGAGGAAAGGAGGCGCGGAGTTAATTCTGAAAACTCACTTGGGTACAGGCGGGACTGAGCTCAGAAGCTCCCTGCAGACCAGATAAAGGCCCCCAAATGATCAATGACATAGACAAGGTTACAAGTGATGTGTATTTTTCAGTTGATTATTAAAGGATTCTTCTTCTTCTCAATTCCAGCTTTAATCGCCTAGACTTACCTCTTTATGAATCTTTTGAAGATTTGCGAGAGAAGCTACTTATGGCAGTTGAAAACGCTCAAGGATTTGAAGGAGTGGATTAAAGGCCGGCTTTTTTGTCCCCCTTCAAGCAGTTCTGCCTGCACTTTTGCATTTGCCTCAAGGACTCGGTGCCTGTGCAGAACAGAACAGAACAGAGCGGCCGCACGGCGCTGGTTCCCGGAGCAAAGCCCGCGGCAGCGTGGCGCCCAAACCCCCAGGGTGGAGCTGGCATCCGAGGGGGCTGCTCTGGCTCCCCGGGACGGCACCGCCTG